TCCCTTGGAGCCAGCTCCCTGTGGGCTGTAATGTGAGCCAAAATAAACCTCTCCTCCTTTAAACTGTGGGCGTCAGGTATTGTGTCTCAGAAATGAGAAAGTGACTAAGACACATCCCAGACTTGGAAGGGCTTGTTTATATGGTGGGCTTGGCAAAAGCAAAGATGTGTCTCTTGGAAGAAAGCAAGAAAAAAATCTAGACACATGTTTTATTTTATGGGTCATCAGACGCTTAACTTAATTTCCGGAAGAGAGTGAATTCAACAACCCAGGATTTTCAGTGAAGCCTGAGGGGAGGCTGAGCGATTGGCACTATGCAGGATGGAAGATATGGCACCTGCATCTATGGGTGACCTGCGGTGAGAGGTAACTAGTTGGTAGCAGACCCTCCAGTGCCTGCCCAATCATTGCGTGTGAATTTCCTTCTGAGCATGCTCGGATGGCAAGAAAACAGTAGAAGGCTACACAGTCCGTGACATACCCACAGAGCACACACAACCACACTGAAATGTATATCTAAGATGAGTACAGTTTATTTTCCATGAAAATGATGTCATCCCACCCTGGAGAATAAGATAAAACACCAGCCTTTCCATCTTAGAAATACAGTGAAACAATTCAAAAAGCTATAAACAAGCCGTGAGTAGTGGTGCATGCCTGTAATTCCAGCGCTCAAGGAGGCTGAGGCAGAAGCATAGCAAGTTCGAGGCCAGCCTGGGCAACATAGTGAGACCCTGTCTTGAAACAACCACAGCCCAACCCTACAAATGAGAAAGAACAGATCCTTTGTTATCCTCCTATTCCTGGAAACAGTCTCTCTTGGAGATTCTTCAAGTTATTTCAAATCTAAATCCACCAGTTCCAAAGGGCAGTGCTCCCTGCTTGGAGCAGGACAGGACTCGGTGTCTGTGTGTGGCGGGGGGTTGGTTCCTTCCTGCAAAGTCTGGCTTTGCCCCCCCTACCGGACCCTCCATGTCCTAGGCCCCCCCCGGGGAGCAGTTCCAGTCTCCAGCACTGGGTCTCTGGCTCTGCAGAGTGCCAGCTTTTGTGTCCCCCTCACTTGCAAGCTAGCAGGGAGGGCTGGGAACTTGGCGAGGGGATGTGGGGGTCACAGCCCTGGCTCACTGCCCCACAGGCATTTTTCAGTGGCCTGAACCTGTGTCTGTCTTATTGAAGGTTGGAGGCCTAGAGAAAAGTTCTCTTTCAGAACTACTGCTTTGGGGCAGCAAGAGTTCACACATCAAATGTCTATCACTTGCTGGGCACTGCCAAAGGTTTACCGCTCCTATAGGAGCTCAGTTTACCCCCACCTGCAATACTCCGAAGCATCCCTGTGGCTTATGCCCCTTTCAGATAACCGAAGCCAGTAGCTGGTGGGAATGGGGAACTGTTTTTCTCTGGTGACTAAGACATGTCACTTACATTCAGCACCACATTAGCACTGAAGAACAGAACTTCGATTTTTTTCCTTTGGAGACAAGTGGCTTCTCCAAACGTCCTCAGGCCTGGGGCACACCGAATCTGCTGAAGCAGGCACCAGCAGGTCAGGTCAGGTTTCATTCCCCTAGGCAAGGGAAGGAGAGGTCCCTCCGAAAGGGATGGGACAGGCCTGGGGTGCCTGTGATCTCAGCGTATCCCCTCCCCCACTGGGCCTTGCCATAAAAGACTCCAACATCTGTACCTCGGTGATGGTGCTTTGAAGTAAATAGATCCTTCCGTCTCCTTGGAGCTAGCTTTGAATAAATCCTTTTTCCTTTTTTACCAACATAAACAGCTTTCTTTGATTTCGTAGTGGAGATTAAATAAACCTGAGCTTCGAACCTAAGTAACTGGTGAAATCGGGGACAAGCAAATCTGAGGCGTCTTCTTTCTCCCCTAGGGGCCCAGGTTTATCAGGGGTCGGAGGTTTTAGGTTGTATCTCTGCCTTTCTGTCTGGCCCCCAGGAAAGCTCCCGGAGAGAGGCCCCTGGCATCCCCGAGATGTCTCAGCGCGGTGGCGGCCCGGCCAGGGCGCACAGTGGGACCGCAGCGCGCCTGCCG